CCTCCAGAGGTGGTGGAATCTGCTGCAGAACCTCCAGAGGTGTCAGTGGTATCCACCTGTGAACTCTCTGCCTGTTCTCTCATGGCTATGGAGGCCATCTGAGAATCCTCGTCCTGTCCTGTCATGGCTGTGGAGGCAGACTGCGAACTCTCAGCCTGTCTCGTCACGGTTGCGGAGGCCGTCTGTGAACTCTCTGTCCGTCCTGTCACGGCTATGGAGTCCGTTTATGAACTATTATCTCGTCCTGAACTGGTCAAGGAGACCGTTTGCGAACTATTGCCCTGTCTCAACCCAGCCGAAGAAGCTGTTTCTGAACTCTCTGCCTTGTCTGTCACACCTGAAGATGCTGTCTGTGAACTTCCTGACTGTTCTGCTGCAGCTATAAGGGCCGTTCAGGAACTCTCATCTCTGTCTGTCACTGCCATGAAAACCTTTAATGAACTCCCTGTATGCTCTGTTAACCCTGTCACGAGTCCAGAAACCACTTGTGAACAATCTATCTGTCCTATCAATGAGACTAACTGTGAACTGTCAACTTGTTCAGTGTTCCAGCGTGTGTTTGATTTCCCTGTCTGTCAAGAACCAGTCAATAATGTTAAGTTAGAGCTGTCAGTCTTACCAGTTTCAATTAATGACTTCACAACGGAACTGTCTGCTTTTCTAGTATCTCCCAGTGTGCCTGATTATGACCCACCTGTATTGTCAATTTCAGTCAGGGAGCCGAACTATGAACTATCTGCCCGTTCTGTTTCCCTGAATATATTGGAGTTTGAGCCATCTGTCCTGCCTGTCATGAGCTCAGAAACTACAAATGCACTCTATGTCTGTCCCATTACTCCTATCAGTATCAAAGAAACCACTAATGAACGGTCTATCTATCATGTCTCAGTCAATGAGTCTAATTTTGAACCATATGTCTGTTCCGTTTCGATCAAAGAGTCTGATTTTGAAGTGTCTGCTTGTCCAGTTTCAGTCTGTGAGCCCGTTTATGAACTGTCTTCCTGTCTGGTTTCAGCCAATGAATCTAGTTGTAAACTGTTAACTCAACCAGTCGTTGCCAATAATTCCAATGATGAACTTTCTGCTCGTTCAGTTGTCACCAGAGACAACTGTTTGCTGGTGTCCGTCACCAGAGACAATCTGTTTGCTGGTGTCCGACTCTTGCCTGTGTTGACCATGCCTGTAAATAAAAGCTTGCATATGGATCCGCATGCCTCTCGTCTCATCGGCTCCATTACAACAACAAATGAAGACCAAATATGTGACCTTTACAGACTGTGATTATTTAATGATTGATTGATTGATTGATTTTCCCCCACAGCATTTGTAAGTATATATATAAAAAAATTATATATTGAGTATTTGGTCGTATATGAAAAGTACATTAACAAGTAAGCTTGTAATTATTGTACAATTTCAGTTAAAATCATTAGTATATTTTTAATAAAGTACATGATCGTATGAATTGAAAGTTTAATGACATTTAAGCATTAACTAATGATCAGTTAAGCATTACATAATATTTGTTAATGATTTATTAATGAAGCTTTTAATCATTGTAAACCATCTGTCAAAATAATTTGAAGATTTTTAAAAAAGTACATGATATGAATTGAAAGTTTACTGACATTTGTAAGAATTTAAATTAACCTTAACTAATGATCTGTTAAGCATTATATAATGTTTGTTAATGATTTATTAATGAAAGTTATACTACGGGGCCATTGAATGCTTGAATCTGATTGGCTGACGAACGTTCTGAGGTGTGCAATTATTTTCAGGGAAACGCACGGCAAACGTAGTTCCAGGCAGCTACGGTCATGCAGTTTGCACAAAAAGGTGTTGTCAGCGCTGCCATGACGATTTTATCGGTTAGCCTATATAGTGTAGCAACTTAAAGGCTACACATGACATTTCTCACTAGCGAGGTAATTACAGCGCTGTTTAGAGACGCTGCTGCAGAACACTGTTGAGGGACGCACAGAGGTAGCCTAATTCACAAAAGCTCTCTCTTTCTAATAACTTAATTAATAACTGCATTAGAATGCTATCAACGGCTCAAGCCTCCATTACCAGCTTTAAAATGACATTTTGGAACTAGCAAAAGAGGCGTTGGATGAGATGCGGAAGAAATAATCCTACTCACAATAGCGATTTAAGTACAAAAACCGGACGAATCCCTTTAAATATATCATCTGATCGATGTCTTGAGGTGTGGTAACCGTAGTATAAGCGGAATAATTGACTCCGGGCCATTGAATTATTAGAAAAATAATGCACACCCGAGGTGTAACGGCCACTCTGCTTCGGGTCGTGGCCGCATCACCACCTCGGGTTTGCATTATTTTTCTAATAATTCAACGGCCCGGAGTAAATTATTCCTTACTTATTATAAAGTGCTACCCATAGAGGTTTTCACATGCGCTGTTAAAAGTGACCTTACCGCCCTCTGGAGTGGTGAAGTGATACTCAATCGAGAGCGGACCTTCACCTCTGCTGTTGAAAGCTGCAACTGTCAGAGTATAGTCCGAGTAAAACTGCAAGTTGCTCACGACCGTCTCCACCTTATTTCCATAAACCTCGATTTCTCTGTACTTGTCAGCCGCTGGAGCGTGCATCGGCAGGCCTCTTCGGCTGTGAGTTCTGGGGCCTTTCTTTCGCAGATGGATCTCAAGAAAGAGAGAGAGAAAATACACAGCTATGAGAATCAGCAGCCAAGTGCAGAAACTATAAATGATGGTTTATAGATCATGTACCTTGTAGCCGAGTAAGTGTCCGCGGACAGATTCCATGCTGACTGGACTCCATCTTACCAGGACAGAGGTTTTGTTCAGCTCGGTCACTGCCACCTCTGAAGGAGCTTCCAGAGGTACTGTGAGAGATCGACAGGCATTACTATGAAACTGTCAAAAGATTACTAATACTCTTTTCAAAATTAGAATTATTATTATTTTTTTTACTGAAAAATTATGTTTCTAGAAAAGCTGGGAACTGAAGCAGGAAAATGTTAGAAAACGCACCATCTTCCCCTGAGTAGCCAATCTTAGCAACTGGTTCTGGTCCTGCACCAAGATCATTGACTGCCTGAACTTTAATCTCGAAGGGGATGAAGGTCCCAGTGCCGTTCACGATGAACGGAGGATGTGAGACGCTGCTTTCCTTCCAGTGTGGACCCCTGCCTGAAGCTTGACGCCAGTAGATCTTGTACTCAAATCCTGGTCCATTAAATTGCCGTCGCTCCAGTTCCTTCCAAATGTAAAAGACGTGTAAGAAAGGAGATTAAACATGACGATTACGTCAAAATCATCTTCTCTTTGTCATGTGTAATCTGGCTTTATCTTTTGGAGAAGACTCCCGGAGAGCTACCATCCTGCAGACTTCAGCTCAAACTGTGCACCAAAACTCCTGCCTGTAATGATCAGCACTGAACACCTTCAGGAGTGTTTGATGAAATCTGCAGAATGGTAGCTGACCGGGAGCAGCGCTGGAGACTTTTCCTCTAGTGGAGGACTGTTAATCACCTTCCATGTGATGACCATACTGTTTGGATCAGTAGACACCGTCGTCACATTCTCTGGATTCATGTCAGGTACTGTGTGCAAGAGAGATCCATTAATACAATTAGGCTTTCCTAATCAAAATGAACAAATTTCTCACAAATGATAATACTTGGGACAGAAAGGTTTTTTTTTTCCACTGGAGTCTTAGAAAAGCATGCTTTCATGGCAGCTCCTAATTTTACGTTTTAGCAAATAAAGGTTTATCGGTGGTCATGCATCGCACCAATTCATACAAAATCACCACCTTGTAAAATAATTAGGTTTTCTCACGAGATTGGGGGGGAACTTCCATTGCAGTTTTCCTTATATTTAAAGGAGACCCCAGGTTTTTAAGAGTCTATGATGTAGACTGTAGACTGGATATATAAATGTATATTTTTCAGAAATATTTCAAAATGTATTGAAATACATGAAGTCAGAAAACTAATATTGTTTTCCATTTGAATTAAGTCTATTATTCTTATTTTGTCTTGTTTTAAGCAGAAAACTCACTTGATTTTAACACTTCTTTTTCTGAATCTTATGCCATTTTGCATGTCAGGGAAATGTTTTCTAGTCCAGTTATTTAAAGATTCATAAATCAAGATACAAGACTATTAAATACAGAGGATGAAAAGTCACTTTTACAGTGAAAAAACCTTTTATATGTCTGTGTCATTATTATGATAAGCTGGGAGTTGTAAGTGTCTTACTGGCTGCTGGTGTGTTGTAGGACTCTGAGGGAGGACTGGGCTCGCTGGTTCCTATGCCATTAACAGCTCTGAGCCGGAAGTGGTATGTGCTGTACGACTGCAGATGGATCTCCAGGTGTCTGATGTCTGGAGGAACTCTTCTGTACTCCTCCCACTGGCCTTTTTCTGGATTCTGCTCCTCTTTCATCTCAATGACATACTCTGGTGGACAACAGATATTAAAGGTCACACAATCCAACTGTAGCAATGTCTGATTCATGGAAAAAAATGTGTAAAGTCAGATCTTTTACTCACAAATCAAATGACAAATGTCTGCTGTACAGTCCGGATCTTTTGTTTACAAGTAAGCATGGTTCTTGAGAAAACTCATTCCCCTTATTAAAAGGAGAGGTTTTTTTGTTTTGTTTTGTTTTTTTGGAGCGGCTCTGAGCACTCACATTGTTTCATTTTGGGGAAAAAATAAAATAACACTCCTTAAAGAAATTAGAAGTAAACAGAAGAATCCATCAATCACCACTGAGGAGTAGTGTTCCTGCAGGAGTTATTTTTTTTCCTCAGTGCATGCATAAGATTTTTTCATATTACACACTCATTAATAAATTACTGACATTATAAGAAGTTTATAATAAAACAGAGGTCAAAAATGTAATAAACACCTTTCTAATGATGCTTACTGATGTCAATTGAATAAACTGAATAAATGATAGAAGAGGGTGCGCGGTGGGCTATTCTGAACGTAGTCAAAGATTTGATTTCAGTTACCAGATACAGGACTGTTGTTTTCAGCGCCTGGCGTCCAGGATAGCGTGACACTATGGTCCATCTTTTCAGACAGCTCCAGAGAGTGAGGAGAACCAGGTTTATCTGAGGAGTGTCCACCACATCCATGTCTTTCAGAACCAGTGAAATGTAAAACCAGATTGTATTTGGTATGTGGGAGTGTCAGACTCACCCAGCACGGTGATGGAGCCGGTGGCGCTGACCGAGTCTAGTTTAGTGCTGATCTCACAGCTGTAGGATCCTGTGTCCTCCATCTGAACGTCAGTGATCTTCAGAGAGCCGTCTGCGTATTCAGTGTATCTGCAGCCATTGAAATCACAAACTATAAACACCACTGCAATAAATGCAATTCTTACAAGACATGAGCAGCTGGTTTTGGCCACACTGAGGTTATAGCTGTGTGTGATGTTTACATGCTCATGGGTTTGCTTTGCTCAGTTAGTTGCACATGCTGATATGGTATCTCGAAAGAGAGCGGCCAGTGGCTGATCAAATGTAAATGAACTTTTACACAATATTTACTCGAAATAAACAAAAATGAACAGAATGAACAGAAACTGTGCACTATTAAGCAGTTTGACCACTGCCGATTAGCAGAGATATGGCTGGTTTGAAATGGTTTAAGTGGTGTGTTTACTTGTCATCATTAGCAGATGATGTGATCTTGTGTTTGTCCTTCTTCCACTGAATTGTGGGTTGTTTTAACTTGTGGTCCACTGTATATTTGCAGTGTAAAACAGCATCATTTCCACATAAAACCCGTAGATCCTGGGGAGGGTCCACAATCTTAGTTCTGTCTGGAGACAATAACATGAAACGACATTCATGAGCCATTTTACTCCATTAATGTAACTTACAGAAGAAAGATTCAATTTTACCCATAAAGTATAAAACATGGATGTTCCGTATAGCACAAAGGAGTCAGACCTGAACGTGATTTTGCTCTAGGTTTTTGGACTACTTCCCTCCTTTAACATTTGAGGGAGCTTTTTGTCTAGGATGTGGATTGTTCTATTGCTATTTGCTATTATTGCTGCAATTTCTTACATTAACGTTAACCAGCATTAAATTACTGCATAAACTATTTAGAAAAATGAACAGTACCTACACTGTAAAATCGAATTAGTTGGGCTTACTTAAAAAAAAGCATGCAAACCGATTTCCTTGAAAAAACTAAGTAAAGTGAAATAGGAATAGTATGTTGTACTGACAAATGCTTAGTTAGTATAGTTTACTTTACTTACACGAGAGTTCTAGTAACTAAAAAAGAACTGTAGGTGTTGTGGTTGCTAACCAGTTCTTCGTTGTTATTATCTGTTGTAGTAATACTGTCGTGAAGTCATGCTGATGTGCATGCTATACAGTTGTACCGTATTCCGTTGCTGTTGCCGCTGAAGTTCCTTGAGTAAACTAGCATGCACCCGAAGCTTTGTTTTCATGTGTTTTTGTTGAACATAACATTTGGCGATGAGGATGGCTTTATCTCTGCCTCCCCCTGAGCCATTTCTGTCCCACGCTGGTGAACCTGTCGTACCGTGGGAGCGGTGGTATGTGTCGTTTCAGACGTACCTTGTAGCCGCGGGCTTGGATGATGTCCCGGACGGGAGAAAGCGCGCACTTCTCATCCATTGTCTCGGCGCTGAGGGATTACGGATCTTCCAGACGCTCGGCACTGCAAATACGTACTCTGACGCTGTTGCACGACTAAAAGGACATTTTCAAAAGACTCATAGCGTGCTGTTGAAACGCCTAAATTTCAGACAAAGATGCCAACGATCGGGTGAATCAGCCAGTCAGTTTGTCGCTGATTTAAAAAGCCTTGCTGAGCCATGCAAATTCGGTGCTCTCCGTGACGAATTAATTAGAGACCAACTTATTGAAAAAACAAACAGTGCACGGGTCAGAGAGAGGCTGCTTATGGAAGATGATAGACTTACTTTGGATAAGGCTCTCACTCTGGCACTCCAAATTGAAGAAGCTACACAGTGTGCAGCTAAAATAGCAGAGACTAATGTAGCTAAAAGTGATATCACCTCTGTACCTGCAAATACAGTCATGGATGAGGAGTTCCAGCCTGCAGGTGCAATCATCCAGCAAGCACAGCCTCAGTCAAGTCAACAAAGAAGGAAATGTGGCAACTGTGGCTCCATTCGTCATGCCAACAGGTCCCCAGACTGCCCAGCTATCGGCCAAAAGTGTAGACATTGTGGTAAGCTCAACCACTTTGCAAGGTGGTGCAGATCAAAGTCCAATTCGCAGCCTTCACCAGCCGTAATTCATACAGTTGGTCCTCACTCAGTCACTTTCTCTACATTTGGTGTGCAGCTGAAAGACTGTTGAATTCTGCTGCTTCTTAACACAGGAGCTAAAGTGTCATTGCTTAATATGGCCACCTACAATAAATTTTTCTCTGATGTTGATGGGGAATCCCGTGGGCCATTACCACTGACAATGGGCCGCAGTTCGTTTCCAGTGAGTTTTCATCGTACCTGGCTGCCAGGAGCATAGCCCATATACGCACCGCCTTCTACCATCCTCAAGCTAATGGTGGCGTGGAAAGATTTAATCAAAGTCTGAAAAATGGTATACGTGCACACCTTGCCCAAGGTTTCCCATTTAAGACTGCTCTCTCCCAGACCCTCTTGCATTATCGTGCTACCCAACATGCCACCACGGG